TCATCATTGAAAAACAACTTTCTCGTTTTCTGGGTTTTTTTTTAAAAAGCATAACAGTTACTGCATTGTTGACGCCTTTGGTACGTAACTTACAAATACCCGGCACCAAAATTAGGACACAAGACACCCCCCCACCCCCCACCCCCCCCAAAAAAAAAACAACAAAAAAATGATAATCTCTAAAGAGATGCTAAAATTTGGGTTTTTAAAAAACTATTAGATCTATCCGTTCTACGAAGCGACTACACACTTGAGTTCATTGGAAATGATATCATATGGGTCCGGAGTTGGGGAATAGAAGATAACTTGAATTACTTCAGTTACACCAGTATCTTCACACTGACAGCGTATGAAAAAAGTAACTTCACACTGACAGGGTAAAAAAAAAGTATCTTCACACTGACAGGGTAAAAAAAAGTTACTTCTCACTGACAGCGTATGAAAAAAGTAACTTCACACTGACAGGGTAAAAAAAAAGTATCTTCACACTGACAGGGTAAAAAAAAGTGTATCTTCACACTGACAGGGTAGGAAAAAAAAGTAACTTCACACTGACAGGGTAAAAAAAAGTATCTTCACACTGACAGGGTAGGAAAAAAAAGTAACTTCACACTGACAGGGTAAAAAAAAAGTATCTTCACACTGACAGGGTAGGAAAAAAAAGTAACTTCACACTGACAGGGTAAAAAAAAGTATCTTCACACCTACAGGGTAGGAAAAAAAAGTAACTTCACACTGACAGGGTAAAAAAAGTAACTTCACACTGACAGTAGGGTAGAAAAAAAAGTAACTTCACACTGGAGAAGGCACTAGTGGCATTGACTTAGCATCCGCATAAACCCCTCACCCCCAGTCAAACAAAAATAGACAAACAACTGAAAAGTTTCATTGCAAACTGCGTAATAGAAACTTGTAGTAATAAATAATGTAGGCTGCTTATAATATAAAGGAATATGTCACGATATATGACATATAGTATTGATTAAAAAAAAGACGACATACTTTTATTCCATGAACTTGTAGAATAAGATCGATGGTCCAAGCACAGTGCATAGATTATCTAATTCTTGTATATTTTATTAAAACAAAACACAACCCAGCCCTGTGCAAAAAACAAAAACAAAAAATTAAAAAAGAATCAAAGAAAGAACAATAAAAATTATATTA